GTTAGTTACTTGATGTTCAATTCCACATTTACTAAACATGGAAAGATAAAACAGTACCTGCTCTCAAGGAACTTACAGTCTACTGGGGGTACAATATATACTGCATACTATAAAGACAGGGAACAGGGATGATGAAGAATCAGAGAAGGCACCAAGATACATTAAAAATATCATAAAGTTCTATGAGGATTACATTATATCAGTCTTGAAATTAATCATTTACTTATACCCATGTAGATACCTAAAAATATCACCTTAGTATATGAATGCCTAGTTGTTTGGTTCCATAAGTTGTTATAATGGAATACACAAAGCATTTCTCATGGTCATGGAACATCTTCCTAAATTCTTCTTCGTGGACTTAAACTTTTGAGTTGATAATGACAGGTGTCAACCAGAAATTAGCATTTGGGTAAGTTTTAGGGTTCTGGGAGGTAGTTAAAGGGTCCTGTAATCAATAACATGGCACATTGAAGAATTAATTCTCCCAGTTCTTCAGGTTCTGTTTTCTTGTTCTTCATAGCTATCTACTATGTCACAAAATGGAAATTCATTGGAATATGTATTATGGTATTTTATAATAATGTATAATATTGTATTTAATTTATTTTAGAGAATACTTTTGAGTATAATAGAATTAGCCTCTTGACCAATCCAACAAAAAAAGCAGAAATTTGAAAAGGAAACTTTAGCATTTTTTCAAATTTGGTTAGCCTTTTTAAAAATAAGATAACTGAACACTACATTGCTGCTGCTTGCTTTTTTTTTTTTGTCCTTCATTCTCGAAGAGGACCATGACATCAGGGAGGTGATGCCATGACATGCAAGTGAATTGGATTTAAGTTGGGGAGGGCTGTGCAAAGTCAACAACCTCACTTTCTCCTCCGGAGCCATCTGGGTCCAGTGGCCAGATATGGATCAGGACAACTGGAAATGGCCCAGGATGCAGTGGGAGACCTTGGCCTTTACATAATTATAATGACCAGGCTTGGCTCTAGTGAAGAGTTTAGAAAATGCATCCTTCATTGTAGAGGTGGGGACCTATGTCTGTGGAATACTGCATGTGCTGTTAGACAGAGAGAGACCAAGTGTTGGTTAGTTTGGCTACACTACTTTTCTTTCTTTTAAAAAAAAATCTTTGTTAAAGGGGATGGCCCGATGGGTAGAACAAAGGAGAGGGATATAATTTGAAACAAATATGATGTAAAAAGGATCAATAAAAGTAAGATTTTTAGAGAATTAAATGCTGAAAAAAATTACAATTACTTCAGTGTTTTGAATTGGGCATCATTGCTAGAATTTGAGTGTTTTCAATTTGTCACAGAATTTACAATTACTATTGTATACCTCAGGTTCTGCTACTAAACACCAGTGTAGTAAAAAAATATTTTCTTTGTCATCAGGTCACAATCCACTTATTTTAAGCAGTACTCAGTACAAACTGCAGTACAAGAAAAAAAGATTGGACTTTCCTTGGGGAATTCTAATAAATTTTGATTTTCTTTTTTCTCTGTGAAAAGCATATGCATTCTTCATTTCCCACATGGATGTTTCTGCCCCTATTAGTCTAGTACTTACATTAGGCTGTCCAATCTAAGTATTAGGCATTTTAAAAATTAGGATGATGATGATAATAAGTGCCTTATGATTATGTACATAATCTGGGGCTAAATTGTACTAAAAAACATTTTTAGTAAGTATCACAAAAAATATTAACAAAGCACCCATTGTAAGCTATTTGTTAAATGTTTTACATTCTTATGAGCTATTGCTAGTTGGTATGTTTTTCTTACCGTGGTATAAGTCTCAGTCACACATGTATTTGTAATAATAAGATTTTGAAGTAGTTGGCTGAGATAATATCATGGTAAAAGAATTTTTAGAACTGAGTAGAACCTATTTGGGTTTATTGAAATGGATTTATTTTGGCACCCTGCTATTGAACGCCTAAGTGTAAAACATTAACACTGTGCTTTTGAAATGGGAAGTACTAAAGAAATAATAACCCCTACAGTCCAGTTTAGGTGATACACATGCATTTGTTCTATAAGTACATGTGAACAAGTAGTGCATGTGAACAAGTGCTTAGCAAGTGTCAATGTAGTATGAGGCTGTTATGAGCAGATTATGCATTTCAGAAAAAAAAGCAGATTTCCTTGTCTTTGAAACAAAAAGGAATTAAGAATTAGTAAGAGCACTGACAATATGAAGAAGACAAGATGTTGTAATGTAGGTGCAAAACAGATGAGTTTAGATTTTCCACAGTGTGCAACAGTTTCTTGAATAAGAGGGAATGGTTTGGTGAAAATATTTGAGCTACAAATAGGATAAAGTAGGATAGGATAAATTGAGTTATGCAAGTCTAAGTTGCTGAGAAAATGGAAAAAGTGTAGTTCAAGGTAGAGGAGACATGATTAAACCAGTTTTAGTTATAAATTTAATATCTATGTATACTTGTTTGGGTCTGTGATTACGTCAATGTCAGTACTGTCTACAGCAATGCAGATCACATGTCCACACCTTCTCATCCTATTTTGGTATTTTCATGTCAGATCTTTTCCATGTCATCACTTAAATTCTTCCTGCATTACTTACATCAAGTGCTGAAGGACTTCTTTAGGTCTTTTTTTACATTCCATGGGTACCAATGGCTACAATAGCATAAATGAAAGAAAGGAACTAAAAAATAGGAAACTGAAGGCTGTAGATAATGTCTAAGCTTAGTCAAGAAGAAAAGATGAGAATGTACTTCCCTCTTGGCCAAAGTAAGGAGAGGAAAAATTAATGTACAGTCAGCCTCAGTAGTTGATTAATTTTGCTGTTTTTCCCCCAAATTAGCCAGCATTTATTAAGTAACTACTTTGTCCCGCACTGTACTAAGCACTGGAGATACAAAGAAAGTTTAAATTAAAAAAAAAAACAAAAACAATAAACAGTCCCTGCCCTCAAGAAACTCCAACTGGGGAGACAACATGCAAACAACTATTTACAAGTATGACCAAGTGTGAGACACAGTAAAACACTCAGAGTAGGGAATAGAGTATAATGTGTAAGGAACAGCAAGGAGGCTTATTTTGTTCATTTGCATAAGGGACAGATCACTGGGTAGGCAAGGAGGAATGGATACATTCAGAAATGAAGGTAATATAAACACAAAAAATATCAAATGAGTAACTTAAAAAATCATTTCATGGGTAAGTGCATCTCTTGGGCCACAGGTTCCCCACTCCTCAGCTGTCCTTTTGTTTGTTTTTTTGTCCCTTAACTCTACTTACATGACCAACCCACCTCCTTTTCTGATCACATATTGCCTAAATAATACTTTATCCTGCTTTCTGTACACAAATCATTGTAAGTGTGCTCTAGTCCACCTACAAAATTACAGCAAAATAATTTGGATACATCTGTAAATTTTTTCATACATTTGACTAGCATGGTTTTTTTTTTTTTTTTTATCAGTTTGAGAACTTGATTCTTGACTCTTTCTTTTCAGAATTCATAATGCACTTAAAGGAATACCAGATGATCGGGATGGACTATTTGATACAATTCAGCGCTCTAAAAATCATTATCAGAAAAGAGCTTATCAGTGTATAAAATGTATGGTAGCTCTCTTTAGTAACTGCTCTGTAGCCTACCAAATTCTACAGGTGAGAACTTTCTTGTAAATTTGTTGCCTGAGCACCTGTGGCTCTTGGATTCCCCTTCTTTTCCCCTATCTGCACAGAGTGTTTTTTCTAGTTTAATGAACTCAGTTACAATTAGAAAGATGCTAAGAAATCTGTCCTTAGGTGATTGGATTGAAATTGAGACTTAGCTTCTATTCTTGTTCACCATTGACTTTCAAGGTGACCTTAATCTTATAAAGAAAGATGACCTTGACTTCAGTACAATTCATTTAAGATTTATTCCTGGTTTTCTTACATGTACAAGTTGGCTGGTAGAAATTAGGCATGATGTGTACCATTTGTAGAAAAGTCACAGATGGAATGAATCCCTTCTTGTCCTGTTTAACTTATTTGGTATAAATGCACTTTTGCGGATTGGCCTGGACAAAAAAAATGTATAAAGAGAATGCCTCATGTTAACTAGTGTCAGCATTTGAAACTAATAACCAAAACATTTATTTCTCTTACACATTTTAAAGCAAATAAAGTTGATTCTTCCAAGAACCTTTACAATTAGGAAATCAAGGAAGTCATGGTTCTCAACTCTTGTCAGAGACAAAAATATGGAAATCATATCATTGGAAACAAAATATGGAGACAACTTTGGTATTGTTGAAGCAATGATTTTTGTCCCTAGAAGACAGACAAATGAAAATTAAAAGAAGTAGAAATTTTATTACATACACTTTTAACAGGACTTAAAAATAGTCAAAAATGAAGTTTGCTGGGAGAGAGAGAAAGTTTTGATAAAATGTTACTTGCCCTTATAAAGATTGCTGTCTAGTACTGGACTTCCTTATCTTAATAACTAATTTGTTTATATATAAAATCTTTCTCACTAATGAAGCTTAAATTCTTTGAGTAAATTCCTAAAGCCCTACAGTGCCAATGTAGGTAGTTATTGGGGAAAAAAAAGATACTTAGATTATACAAGATCCTATAATCTCTTAAATATGTAATATGTCATTTGAAAGGTACTGGTCTCATAAAGAATTTTTCATAAAGAATTTTTTTTCACGATATGTGTGATTTATTTTAAAGAGTAATGGAGATCTGAAAAGAAAGTGGACCTGGGCAGTGGAGTGGCTTGGAGATGAACTTGAACGACGACCATATACTGGCAACCCTCAGTATACATACAACAACTGGTCTCCTCCAGTACAAAGCAATGAAACATCAAATGGTTACTTTTTGGAGAGATCACATAGTGCCCGGATGACCCTTGCAAAAGCTTGTGAACTCTGTCCAGAGGAGGTAAAAAAGGTTAAAATTGCATTTTTCAACAAATAGGGGGGGAGGCAGGGTGGAAATCAAGATAACTTTTTGTCACTCCATGAAACGAATCTGAGGGGAAATTTTCATTTTTAAAAGTACTTTGTATATGCCTTCCTTGAACAAAAACTGCTGGAAGTACTAGAAGACAAATAAAAATTAGTAAAGAAAAATCATTAAGTCTACTTTAGACTTTAAATTCAGGAAGTTCTGCTATGACTCAACATACATGTTCCCAAAAAACACCACACTATACAAACTCTGAGGAAAAAGCAGAGCTTATAGGGGAAGTAGGGCTAGGGATACAAAACTCAAAAACTTTATCAGTGATGAATTGGGGGGAAAAAAAAAAGATGGGAACCTAATGAAGAGTGCAGCACAGTGTTATACGTTTTAAATTATTAAGAAATATAAAATTACTACTACAAATAGTGGTCTCATGCTTGACCTTGAGCTGCTACTGGGCCTGCTGTGAGCACGTTGGGCAAGACTCAGTGCTAGCAGGTGGCCATTTCCGAAGGGAAGACCAGCCCTTCTCCTCCACTCATAGTTCTTATACCCCAGAAGATGTACAATCAGTATGGCACTTTATCTTGACAAACACCTAAAGTTTGCTTGTGAAAGTGGGAGACGAGAGGGTTGTAGCTTGTGAATTATGGTGAAGTGGGGCTTTTTTCTGAGTCTCTCACTGTTTCTTTTGAAAGAAACTTGAAATTCACATTGTGCTCAAAATATTCCCTAGTATTAACAATTGTGTTGGAACACATATCTGTTTTCAAAACACACATTATAGCAGAGCTGCATGTAGCCAAAAATGAAGTTTAACTATGAAATTAAAAATTTTGAATTTGCCTGGAAAATCAAGTTCTGTTTCCTTTTAAATGTGTCCACCTAGGAACCAGATGACCAAGATGCCCCAGACGAACACGAATCATCTCCACCAGAAGATGCCCCGTTATATCCCCATTCACCTGGATCTCAGTATCAGCAGGTAAAATAAGAATTTGCTTTTGCTTTTTTCTCAAAAACCACTAAGTATCTATTTCCAGAATAACTAAATTTGTTCTAATTCTGTTGATACAAGGTGTGACTGTAAAGTAATGAAACTGGTTTTCTTGTGTGCTTTTGGAAGCAGAGGAAGAATGAGCATGACAGGGACGTATTTCAGCTCGCAGCCAGCAGTACTTTCCAGGTTGGCCAGTTAGTCTTGTGCTAGTGGCTGTGAATAGAAGTGTATGTTGTTTCATGTCAGCATATAAACAAGTGATGGTTACTTAGAGCAAAAATAAAACATTTTTGTGAAGTGCAAATGAAATACTTGGCACTGCAAAAAGGAACAATATAGATAGGAAGTAATTGTCAACAGCAGAGGTCTTCATGAAAGATTTTAAATGTTCTTGATACATGAAGTAGTCGTCTAGCCATGATAAAAGTATTCAGTCACTTAGAGACTATTCGTTCATATAGATTGTGAGAATTATGATGTATTTAAACTTTAGATAAGGAAATGGACTCATTTGAAAGGAAGCTTGGACATAAAAGAAGGCTTCGATAAAGGTTTTGCATTAAAGCTTGGTTGAGGAGCAGAGGTAGACATTTTTTCTGACCTTTCACAGGAGATGTGTGATTTCATTGGTATAAGAATGTCTCTGCTGAAGAAACTTTCTACTAATGCAAATTGACACTCAGGCTTTCACTGAAATTTGTAGTATTAGTTGATGACGCACCGAGAGGTTAAGTAGCCAGCTCCAGGTCACACAAGGAGTCTTTGTCAAAGGCAAGACTTGAACTCAGGGCTTTCTGGTTTCAAGGCCAGCCCTCTGTCCACTGTGTCACAGTGCCTTTTAGAAAGCTTGACAGAAGTGAGTTGAGAAAATAGTAATCAGTGATAATAGTCGTGATCATGGAAATGAAGGATCAAACCCTACCTTAGAAAATATCCACATGCATGAGACACAAGAGAGTGTACATAAAAATTTTAAAAAGAAAACAAATGGATTCTGTGAGATGAGTTTTCTAGTCTACACCTGCAAGTTCAGCTCAGTTCTATATTCTGGAATTAACCCTATCCTGGGCAAGGGTATCTAAGGAGCCCCAGTTCAGAAGGCAAGCAGTATTGCTTTTTATTCCACGTCTCTCAAAGGAAATACCAATAGATTTCATCCCTTCCCTGAACCTATTAACTATTGCTAACTTTCCCCAAAACTGATAAAAATCACCTACCTGGACCTAGAGAACCACAGGCTTTTAGGTATAGAAGGCACCTATAAAAGGTCACCTAGTCCAGTCCTTCATTTTACAAGTGAGAAAGTTGAAACTTAGATTAAGTGACCTTACTTCTGATCACATATCCTCAGTAGTAAAGCAAGCCTTGAATTCAGGTATTCTGACTCCCCCTGTAATACACTTTCTACCACATTATGGTGTCTCTTTCTTCCCTACTGCTTAAATATAATTTATAAGAATTTGGATTTTGGCTAATGATACCTGTCTCTTGCCTATTCTAGTCTTATTTCCTGCCTATAAACTGATTTCCTTGTTACAGACCTTGTAGACACATCCCAATCATGCCTAGGCTCTACAGTCACCTTACTCTTCATTTATTATAGTCTGTTGGTCACCTTTTAAAAGACTAATAACTAAAATGACTCTCTTTTGGATGAGTGACTCGACTATTTTCTTAAGTTTTACTGATTAGTAGGCCAAAGATGTTAGAGCACATCAGAGATTACTTTTATTATCTAACAGAATCCTGTCCATTGCTTGTTATAATTGATATTTTCTGAGTAATTCGTTTAAAATATATGTTATATAGTATATATACAACAATTGCTCACCATGTATGCTTTAACTAAGTACAACAAAATCATATCCTCATGATACATTTTTAAGGGCAGTATCTGGCATCTGTCTTGATGGCAGCTTGTTTTGTTATTTCATATCTACAAGAAATAAAAATATATTATGAATTAAATCTCTTAAACCTAATTAGTTTTACTAGGATTTTAATTTGACTGTTCCTAAATTTAGTGGGTTTCAAAGAAACCAGGATTTTTTTCTTTTCCCTACTTGGAAATGATTTTATCCTTCATCTGCTAACTTAATTTCCTCTCCCACCCAACCCTGTTTTCCTTCATCTTGATCTCTTTACTGATGTTCTCAGCAGAGCAGTTGGTAAGTGATATGAGACTCTTAAATGCTTTGGCCTTTCCTGTGAGAATAAAGCTACATTTTATCACATGCTCACAGATTAATCCATTTACACATATGGTGTTTTTTTCCTCACAGCAAAAGGCATATTTTCACTGCTTAACATACACAATTCTTATTTTCCTGACATTACAGAAATAGGTTTGGTCACTGGACAATATGACAACAAAAACGTTTCCCATCCAACAATTCTGTGGGAGCATCTTTGAGGTGGTTATTTCCCTATGAAATTATACCCTTCATAGAAAGATATATGGCAAAGTTGTGTAACTTAAATGATGCTAAAATGAAGGTCATTACTGTAGATAGTTATTTCTTTTTATAGGATTTCTTCCAAACTTTGTTGCATTATACTTTCTCCTGCTGCTTTTATTTTGCATGAAATAGCACAGTGGAATTTAGGATTTGGATTCACTGTGACTTTGTGATTTCATTCTTTTTTACCTTCAGCATAAATAAATATGCCTAAAAGGTGAGTGGTAGGGCATAAATGAAAACTATTCTCATTGAGACTCTTAAACAAAATGTTGCCTATCGTTTTAAAATGTTTTAAAATTAATTTTAATGTGTGTAAAGTTCAATATGTATATCTATTTTTCTCTAGAATAACCATGTGCATGGACAGCCATATACAGGCCCAGCAGCACATCACATGAACAACCCTCAGAGAACTGGCCAACGAGCACAAGAAAATTATGAAGGCAATGAAGAAGTTTCCCCACCTCAGACAAAAGATTAGTGAAATGCACATAACTAACTGGTTCCATCAAGACTGTGCACCCAGGCCTTACAGTCCAACCTTTTTCTGTGTCTGGCTAATATTTAAAACTAGAAAAAAAACTATTCCTAATCAACATGGAGTGGAGAGTCTATTCACTGTCTTATCTGCAGAAAATTGCTGTCAATATATAACCCGCCTGCAGTGGAAAGTGTATAGTGTTTTGTAATAAATGGCCTGATGCTAATGTGTAAATGGCAAAGGTGTATATAGTATATTAATGTTTGACTGTTAATTCTTAAGCAAGAAACATTTTTTTGTCTTGAAACTCACAGATCTACGAAAACAGGAAAAAATTAATTTCTTGATCTATCCGCTGCACTCTGCAACCAATGTTGCCTGCCTCATGGCAGTTGGATCAACTCCTTTACAGAAAAAAACAAAAAAACAAAAAAAAGAGCCCATACATGTCAGCCACACCAATAGTTTCATGTTAATTCTTTGCCACTGGAGTCGATTTTACTATGAGCAACGTAATGGCTGGTAACCTTTTAATTATTTGGTTGATGTGGAAAATTGGTGATGTAACATTGTTTCTAGATCTCTTTTTCATTGCCTTTTTCATTCTGGTATTAGGTTAATCACTTTGAAGCTATAGTTATGCTGTAACATTTAGCATGGCTTCACACCAAGTTAGTGTAGCCAATGAGGAAAAAATACCATAATGACTGCAGTTGTCCCAAAGAGACAGCTGTATTGCTCAGAGCTTTTCTTCTTAAACCTAGAATATAAAAATATTAAAATGAGGGGGGGGGAGAAATGTGACAAACAGGTGGTTTTCAGTTGCACATAAG